GATAGATAGATAGATAGATAGATAGATAGATAGATAGATAGATAGATGAAAGATGGAGATAGATGGATGGATAGATGATTGATAGATGATAGATAGACAGAAAGATAGATGATAGATATAGATAGATAGATACATGAAAGATAGAGATTGATAGATGGATGGATGGATAGATGATTGATAGATGAAAGATAGATAGATAGATAGATAGATAGATAGATAGATAGATAGATAGATAGATAGATAGATGATAGAAAAATAAAAGGGTGGGCTGCTATTAGTGTGTCCCAGTTTGGGTGAACTGGTAACTAATTTTCTCATTTTTAATGACCAGTTTGGCGAACCGGTAAATCCCATCCCTGGCTGGCCTGCCCACCCCTCCCCTCCCCTCCCCTCCCCTCCCCTTCCAGGCATCTCTATGTGGCCCATTTTGGATGCCAGATAAGCACAGGGCCCATTCAGACGCTCGGGGAAGGTGAAAAATGGGCCTCCCGGAGGCTCCGGAGGGCCAGAAATGGGCCTGTTTCCGGCCTCCAGAAAGTCTGGGGAGGCCGTTTTTGCCCTCTTGGAGGCTCGATGGAAAGCCTCCGGAGCCCGGGGAGGGCAAAAACACCTCCCCCCACAGGGTGCAGGAGGCCAAATAGGCCACGCCCACCATGGCCATGCCCACTCAGCAACAAGGCAGCGAATTGTTTGCTAATTTTTTTGAAGCCCGCCCCTGTATAGATATATGGGTCATAGAAAAGAGAATACCAAACACAACACCCATGAGAGGCCAAGGAGGAGGACTGAATGGAAGGGGGAGATAAATACCAGAAAGGTAAATGGCTTTATCGACCATGAATTCTTCTGAAAAACGGATGTGACAAAAGTTCTTCTTGCTTTTACGAATGGCAGTGATGTCCCCACACTTCTCGAAGACTTCCTGAATGATTTCCTCTGTCGCGTTTTCGGGTAATCCTCCGACAAAGACAGTTTTGCATCCTGGGGGTCTCTCCCTGGTTGAAGGGGGTGGAAGATCTAAAATGGAAAACCACACATATTGTTGGAGAGTCCAGAAACCGGAGCCCCTGTCGAAAACAAAAAGTTTCTCAATCTATCCTCTACGGTCTACATGTATGTTACTGAACGCCAACATCAACCAAAGTGGAAATGAATGTGTCTTGATGCTATCCTGGGTCTCTTAGTTAATTTAAGGCCATTTATGTTGAAGTAATTTAGCCCATCTCTAAATGCTGACTCCCACTTTCCTACCTATTATCCCTCCTTTAGGCATAAAGATATTTACCCTTGCAGTAGGGCTGTATTGCTATTCTCTTTTCACCTTTCTCATCTTCTTCTTTCTTGTTTTTTTTCTCATCTTCTCTTCTTTCCTACTGCCTTCTCCTATTGATTATGATTTAACACTTGTTTGGATCTTATGATTAATGATTGTGACTATGATTTATGATCTATGACCTATCATGTTGTTATTTATAGTATACTGAGAGCTTGTGCACAGGAGACAAATTTCTTGTGCGTCCAATCACAGTTGGCCAATAAAAAATTCTCTTCTCTTCTCTTCTCTTCTCTTCTCTTCTCTTTTCTTCTCTTCCCTTCTCTTCCCTTCCCACATCACCTCATCTCACTCTGCTCTTGTCTCTACTCTGTTCTACTCTACTTACTCTACTCTATTGTAACCCCATTCTACTTCTATTCTATACCTACTCATTCTATTCTACTCTACTCTACTCTACTCTACATTCTATTCTATTCTATTCTATTCTATTCTATTCTATTCTATTCTATTCCATTCCATTCCATTCCATTCCATTCCATTCCATCCCATCCCATCCCATCCCATCCTATTCTTATTCATTTCAGGTCTTCCAAAAGTAACAAGGCAGCACTATTGATAATACAGCTTCAATAAGTAATACTAAAGGAAGGAAGTGATACCAGAGTTGGTTGGTTGTTGTCAGAGGCATCAGATTTAATACAAGGCATAGTAGAGGACATAAATTTGAAATAGAAAATACATTAAAACAGGCACAAATTAAACAGATCTTGACCAGAAACTAGCAACCTTAATTACATTCTATCAGGTTCTCACATGTACAACCAAAGTTGGTAATGTGGTAATATTAACATTAGTGGTATTAAAAGCCGGCTTGTTCCAGCATTTGCCAACCACCTACAATGAACACAGAACCTAGAGTAATAGCGTTGGAAGAGCCCTTGGAGGTCTTGTAGTCCACCCACCCTATGCATTCTCTTGCTATATTAAAATTGCAAGAACCTTCCCCCCCACTTTTATTAGCCGGGGGGGGGGGGGGGGACGTTAATTATCAAATTAATAGATAAATCAATTATCTACAGTTTCAGCTCTGATCAAGCTAACCAGGTTGACTCACTTGGGTTTGGAGGGAAGAGAGTGCAGCTTTTACAGTGAATAATCTCCTTGATGACAGGGACTTCCGTTGGGGGAGGCTGAGGTACGAGGCCCATGCCTGACAGCAAGGGGTTAATCGGCGTGATGCCTGTCATCATGCTGAGGTTTGGGTCGAAGCCCCTTACGCATATCGAATCTGCAAAATACAAAATATTTTATGAACTCCTGAACTAAGTTTTAGTTACCGTCCACCGTCATCTTGCTTTGAATGGCATCTCACTGGCTTTGTTCTAAAAAAACAAAACAAAAAAACACCAGCCATGCACACAGAAGAGGCTGCAGCCTAAGATTGAACCAATCAATCAGAATAGACCCTATGCCATCTGAGTTAATCTGAATAGAGCTGGAAGGGGCATTGGAGGTCTTCTAGTCCAGCCCACTGCTCTGCCATTTCAGACAAATGGGTGTCCAATCTCTTCTTGAAGACCTCCAGTGATGAAGCACTCACAACTTCTGAAGACAAACTGCTCATTGTCCTCACCTTTAGGAAGTTTCTCCTTTAATTCCAGGTTGCTTCTCTCCTTGATGAGTTTCCATCCATTGTTTCTTGTCCTGCCTTCTGGTGCTTTGGAAAATAAGTTGACCACCCTCCTCTTTGTGGCAGCCCTTCAAATACCAGAAGACTGCTATCACGTCACCCCTAGCCCTTCTTTTCTCTAGACTAGCTGTTGCAATGACGAGGCAGTCGAGGTGTTTGATCATGATCAACTGATTCATGATGATCTTTATTGGAATCTAGTCTTGCATTTATACACATTTTTAGTTATCCTCCAACATTGGTTAACTTTGGTTTCTGCTTGACTTTCGTTATTGTTCAGCATAGTAACTAACACAATTAATGATCTCTAGTCAACGTCCAACATATGTTTACTTCCTCTCTCTAATCCTCCTTTAGATGAGTAACTTTATTTGCCTGAGTTGTATCTGCTTGGAACCATTCTTTTCTCTTGAGGTTTGCCATCAAAGATAAAGACATTCCTGCAATTACAAATCTACAACTAGCCATACCTAATTCCTGCAACTGTTCTCCCTACAGACTTTAAATGAAACTTTGAGTAACAGAATAACAGAGTTAGAAGGGACCTTGGAGATCTACTAGTCAAGCAGGAGGCCCTTTACTATTCTGGACAACAGTTGTTCAACCTCTTGTCAAAAACCTTCAGTGATGGAGCACCCACAACGTCTAGACGCACATCACAAAATCAACTGCTGTGAGTCAAGGACCGGCCGTACAATATTACAATGCTTCCAAGATCTTTTTAAAAGTATGACTCAAAGGCCTGGTTGGAAGAGATGATAAAAACAACGTACTGAGTTCAAACCAGAAATATTTCTGTTAGGGATTTTACCTGAAGTTTATAACAAAGAGAATGTATAGCTAATGTATAGCTAATTATTCATGTACTAACTGCAGCTAGAATGGTATTTGCACAATATTGGAAAGGTGAGGAGATTCCCACAGACGAGGAAGTAATCAGGAAACTATTAGAATGTGCAGAGATGGACAGATTAACACCAGCAATCAAGGAGAAAGAGCAAACTTAGTATTATATGATATGGAAAATATTTGATCAATGGTTAAGAGAATAAAAAAGGGAATTTGGAAATGAAGAAGAATAAAGGAGAATAGAAAATAAATTAAGATAGAGGTAGAAAAAAGATGATTGTTATTATATGTATGATGAGAATCATGAGATGTAACTCCAATAAGGTACTATCACCAGAAGAGTGGTATGATGGATAGCTCTTTAACGGATAATCAGAGTTGGAAGGGATCTTGTAGGTCATCTAATCCACCCCCCTGCCCAAGCAGGACACCATTTCTGACAAATGGCAGTCCAGTCTCTTCTTGAAAGTCTCAAGTGAGGATGTATCTCAAGTATGATGTATCTTAACTCTAAGTTTAGGGAAATAATATCACTGTGAACAGGAATGATTTTGCAAATGAAGGATGTGGCACAGAGGTGTTTGTGCCTAGACGACACATAGCTTGAGAAAAAAAATGAAATGTTCATACTTTTGAAACTGAAAAATAAAAAAATAAAACCTTATTATTAAAAAAAAAAAGAATTATGAGTCCCACCTCCTCCCTAGCTTCTGAGTCTCATATCAGCTTTGATTCAGACCAGAAGAATCCAGCCAGGTCTAACCAAAGATTTTAGAGAGGGGGGAAATACTTTAATATGGCTGCCCTTCGCACAGACAGTTATTTATTTTATTTATTTATTTATTTGATTTGCCAATTGTTTACAAGATAATAAGTATAAGTGTATACATAGTTGTGAATACATGAAATGGGTACATATAAGAAAAATAAAAGAAGAATAAGAGAAACAATAGGACAGGGACGGTAGGCAAGTTACTTGAACTTGGAAGCCGGAGCAACAAACAAACAACGATATAGGCCCTTTTTCCCCCCGTGCGTTTGTCTAATCCTCCTCGCAAGTCAGCTAATTGCCTGACCCTGTAAGCAGACTCTCTGGCGTTGAGGCACTGAAGCTTGCTGGGTATTGTGTGAAACTCTTCCACAGGATTCTCCTGCCAATCAGCCTCACTCGGTGACCACAGAGTTCTGGCATTAGAACTGCTGGCACGAAATAATCCTGCAGGATGAAATTTATTTGCAGGGGTAGTATGTAAATTCTGATGCTGATGTGTATATTGGAAAATCTGGGGAAAAGGGAGGGAGGAAGGAAGGAGAGGGAGGGAGGGAGGAAAGAAGGAAGGAAGGAAGGAAGGAAGGAAGGAAGGAAGGAAGGAAGGAAGGAAGGAAGGAGAGGTGATATTCCGCAGATTGTGACCAGTTCTGGAGAACCGGTAGCAGAAATTCTGAGTAGTTCGGAGAACCAGCAAATCCCACCTCTGACTGGCCCCACCCCCATCTATTCTCTGCCTCCCGAGTCCCAGCTGATTGGCTGGCTCTTCTTTTGTTGCCCTGCAGAGGAGAACAGAGCTGGAAAGCAGGTTAGTGGGGTGGGGAGGAAAGGGGGATTTTGCAGTAACCTTCCCCCAGGAGCGAGGAGGGAATGGAGATTTTACAGTATCCTTCTCCTGCCACGCCCACCAAGCCATACCCACAGAACCGGGAGTAAAAAAAATTGAATTCCACCAGTGGAAGGAAGGAAGGAAGAAAAAGAGGAAAGGAGGGAAAGGAGGAAGGAAGGATTGGAGGGAGGGAGGGAGGGAGGCAGGCAGGCAGGCAATTACAAAAATCTGTCACTCTCCTTCTGTGGATATATCCACACAGAACAAAGAGCTGTGTGTGTTTTCGTGCGTTTGTTTGTGTTGCAATACCTTCAATTATTGCATTGGACATGGGAATTGGATCAAAGTTTCCCCTCTCCTCTTTATCACACTGTGACATGAGAAGCTTAATGTGTCAAAAGCTCCTCCTTCACCCGGGGTTGAAAAGACTTTGAGACTGTTCTCTTGTATGTTGTCCTCCAACCTTTGTGTAAGCCTATTGGGCGTAACGGGTGGGAAGAACATACTTGGACGAGGTTCGAAACTTCCTCCATGGAGACCTTTTTCTGCTTAGTCTAGCTTGGCTGAGGACTTCCATCTCAGGGGAGGGGAGGTTTGGGTGGACAACTTTTACTGCAACTTCTAAAAATCCTTCAGCTGGTCTCCAAACAGCTCCCGTGGCTTCAAGGCAGGTTCATCAGTGTTATTTATGTGTCTCATTCCGTTCTGCTAGGGTGGGACACATGGAGATATTACTCCACCTCTGTTGTCAGCGATCTCATCAGGACTTTGTACAAAGCGTGGGTTCTTGGCGTGAACCCTCACTTGCCAGATGGCTAGACATAATATTGCTTCATTACTCCTGTCATCTGGAACCATCTGCTCCACATGTCAAGTTCCCACTTTCTGATTTCACTCTGATATTATTAATTTTGGCCTCCCTGTTATCCACAAGGCGTATTGTTGGACTGCCAGATTTCTGACAACATGGATAGGGTTGTTCCTATTTTATTGAAGTTGTGCAGTGTTGAAAACATCCTGTTTGCAATTAAGAGGTAAAAATGGCAATAGCTCATCATCTGTAGGGGAAGAGCAGACTGCAGGCAGAGTCAAGAGGGGACTTAGCCTGGAATCGTTACATGTCCACAAACGCTCCATGTCTTGAATAGCATTGAATTCTGTCTTTGTTGTTGTTGTTGTTGTTGTTGTTGTTGTTGTTGTTGTTGTTGTTGTTGTTGTTGTTAGTTGCAAAGTCATGTCCAACCCATCGCGACCCCATGGACAACATTCCTCCAGGCCTTCCTATCCTCTACCATCTTCTGGAGTCCATTTAAACTCATGCCGACTGCTTCAGTGACTCCATCCAGCCACCCCATTCTCTGCCATCCCCTTCTTCTTCTTTTGCCCTCGATACTTCCCAGCATTAGGCTCTTCACCAGCAAGTCCTTCCTTCTCATGAGGTGGCCAAAGTCTTGGAGTTACCTCTTCAGGATCTGGCCTTCTAAAGAGCAGTCACGGTTGATTTCCTCTAGGACTGACCGGTTGGATCGCCTTGCAGTCCAAGGGACTTGCAGGAGTCTTCTCCAGCACCAGAGTTCAAAGGTCTCCATTCTTTGGTGCTGCACCTTCCTTATGGCCCAACTTTCACAGTCATCCATTGCAACTGGGAACACCATAGCCTTGACTCCATGCACTTTTGTTGGCAGGGTGACGTCTCTGCTTTTTAGTATACTGTCTAGATTTGCCATAGCTTTCCTCCCCAGGAGCAGTCTGTCTTAACTAGTGCCAATTTCATGCTGACCGTTAATTGATCAAGATTCCTGTATATCATTGGTCTGTTGTGGTTTGTCAGCAGCCTGCGGAAATGGCAGGAGAGTCGGACAGTGGGGAGGAACATGGGCCAGTCCAGGAGTCTGGGGAAGACTCGGATGAGGGTCCCGCATCCGACACAGAGATGGGGCCAGGGCCATCTGTGAGTTATGTGCTGACTCCGGAGCTTCCAGAATCTGACAGCAGCAAGGCCGAGGAACAGGGGGAGCCTGTTCCCAGTGAACGTGTGCGCAGAGCTGCCAGAAGGCAAGAACAGTTAAGACAAAAGGGGAGACTCAGGAGTAAGGCTGGGAGGTGATTGCCCCTCCCATAAGATATAAAGGAGGAGCAAAGGGACAGGAA